AGACGCGCCATGAAGACAGTGCTGCTGCTCCTCATCGTCCTGGCTGCGGCCGTGGGCCCAGGTGCGGGCGGGCGGCGGGGCTGGGGCGGGAGCCTGGAGTTGCAGAGCCTGAGGCTCGGAGAATCCCGAGATGGTGGGGGTGCTGGACTCAGAATTTATTTGCTATTAATTTTAAAAATATCTTTATTGATGTCAGAGAGGGAGGGAAAGGGAGAGAGAAACATCCATGATGAGAGAGAATCACGGATGGGCTGCCTCCTGCACGCCCCCCACGGGGGATCGAGCCCGCAGGGCCTGTGCCCTGACCGGGAATGGAACCGTGACCTCCCGGTTCATAGGTCGGCGCTCAACCCCTGAGCCGTGCCGGCCGGGCTGGACTCAGAATTTGAAACCAGCCCCATCTCCACGGCTCAGACTGAGCGTCGGGAATCAGAGAAGGCAGATGGCCTCCTGGGACGGCCCCTGACGGGCAGTGACACCGCCAGCCGCCTGGAGATGCCCCCCCCTCTGGCCCTTCAGGGTCCCCCCAGGACAGCCCTTCTCCCCACAGGCTCCCGTGGCCCTGGCTCAGCCTTAGGTCCAGCACCTGCTCCTGGGGACAGCCCTGGGGCGGGATGAGTGAGTCCCGAAGTGCTGAGGCCGGGAAGCCGGTCTCCAGTGCACCCCCTACTGGCCACTTCTCAGTTCAGCCCGACCTGCCAGCCCAGATCCAGGGCCCTACAGACTGGGGTGCCACTCCCTCCTGCTGAGGCTGGTGCAGGACAGGCCCTGCCGTCCTGGGGACCCCACGGGGCTGGCCTCGGGCCACGGTGGCAGATGGCTCTGTCCAGAGGGGCCTTTCCAGCAGTGAGCCCCGGGCTCAGGGGTCCCTGAAGGGTCTCCCCGGCCCTGGCTGAGACCCTGCAAACCATCCCTTCCCCCAGCCCAGGCTCTCCAATGCCACGTGTGCACCAGCTCCACCAACTGTAAGAAGCCACAGAGCTGCCAGGCCAGCGCGCGCTACTGCCGGACCCTGACCAGGGGTGAGTGTCCCTGTTGCCCTGGGTGGGGGACCGTCCCAGGTGGGGGACGGTCCTGGGTGGGGGACCATGCCCGGGTGGGGGACCGTGCCTGGGTGGGGGACCGTG